GGGGATTGGTTGCAGGAGATCTTTGTACCCTAAGGGTCCAAGTACCCAAATAATAGGGTTTTGGGGCCCAAATACTATAATGTTAATGGTATTTGGGCCCCAAAACCCCATTATTTGAGTCCTTGGACCCTTAGGGTTTGTAAACCCTCTTATGGGTTCAGGGGTGAGCGATTGAGGGTTCAGGGCAGCAATTCGCGGAGAGGCGGGAGAATCTCAGTTTTTAGTATCCCCCAACCCTGAAACCTTAAACCGATAAATCAAGCGAAACGGCTTTCCTTCAGTTACTGGATGACCCTCCAGCTTGGGGACATTGCCTTTCTGAAGCAAAGAGGACTCACCACCCCAATAGTGCAGCAAGGAGGGTCCAGATAAGACGACAAACCCAAAACCCCGTACCCCTGTTGGGCAGGGAGTGACATGGAATATACTGGCAGGGACTATTAACCCCTGGGTATTACGCGGGGACTACTATGGGGCCCTCATTCCCTCATTCTCTTCCAAGCGCTTGAGTGGGGATCGAACGTGTGGAAGACCGCGGGTGCCGAATGCATGATTGGTTTCACTTTGCAGGCTTGCGGCTGTATGGCCCCAAGGGCTTAGGGTTTAGGGCTTGCGGCCCTTTAACACATAAGCCCTCAAACCCTAAACACTGGGTCCTAAACCATTCAGCTCTCGACCCTACGCCCCGAAACCCTTAAGCTTCCAACCCTAAACCCTGAAATCTGAAACTCTACGCCCTGGGCTGAGTCCAGGCCACAAGCGGGGAAGCTGGGTTTAGGGCCCGGCCGCACACTTGACACAGGAAAAAGGAGAGCCCCGTCATCAGACTCCTTTAAGGACAGTTACTGTGTACTAGGAGTTATATAGGGGTTATATTTGGGATAATGGAAAATAAAATGGAAAGTACTATTTAGTTTTCAGGGTTTAGACCCAAAGTTTAGCGCTTTAGAGTTCCCCTGACCAACAGGAAATGGGGCCGTGCAGCGTTTCACCAGTTGCCACTGTCATTTTCACCCATGAAGGGGTCGAAGCTTCCAGAGCACCTGCATGCACCCGGGGTAAAACCTAAACCCTAAATACCCCAAATACCCTAAACCCTAAACCTAAGCCCTAAGTACCCCAAACCCTAAACCTAAACCCTAAATACCCTAAACCTAAACCCTAAATACCCTAAACCTAAACCCTAAATACCCTAAACCCTAAATACCCTAAACCCTAAATGGCATGGGGAGCTTGAGACTTTCAGGCTGGTGCCTCGCCAGCGTTGTTTATGGCGCCCTCAATTCCTGCCCAGGATCCCTTGGGTTCTCCCTGGGGACACTATAGTCCACCTTAAGTAGATAGAATATGGGGTATATGGGGAGCTTATCTAAATATACTCAAAGACATATTCTATCTACTTCAGGGGGACTATAAATTGGGAGTTCCTCCACATGAGCCATGGTCGAAACTCCTGGTATCCTCCTAAATAACCTCTTATGATACTCCTCTATATAGCCCCCTATATAAGCCTATTCAAATAGTTTAAATTATGGCTCACATGAGCGTTGTAGAATCGCAAAGACAGGGGATCCTCATACCTGTTGTCCCACATATCTTCACAGTGTCCGGAAGCATAAGCAAATTCTGAGAGTTTTCTGTAAACCTAAGCTCCAAGCCCTAAATCCTCATACGGTAAAGTCCCAGATCCTTAAAGGACCCGTAAATGAAGGACCTGTAGAGTGATGAGGCATGTGAGGGGAATCCGATGTCGACATCTTCCAGAAACAGATACCCTAGATAGGAACTGCATCAGCTTAGACACCCAGTCAAGAACCCTAAACCCTAAACCGCCTTGCTCGCTGAAGTCGAAGCCTTTGAAGCCCTGAACCCCAAACCTGACCCCTAAAATCCTAAAACACAGAAACCCTAAAGACCTGCAACCACCAGGTTAGGGGGTTTAGGATTTAGG